ACAACTCCTATCTAATGTTTGCATCGAGTGACACCAAATGATGTGCTGAGGAGGGAAGTGATTTCGGCTTTAAGAATGCCACTGCTATTGTGTTTAGCACTACAACAGCCTTCAAGCAAAACTTTAAGGACGAATAAACCCTGAATGACTTGAATATTAATCTTAATTATTAAACTGTTGCCTTTAAAAGCATCCAATATTTATTTTGTAATGAATTTTTTTTAGTTTAAACTTACTTCATCAACAGGTTGGCCTTTTTCATTTTGGTTAACAGTTTCCTTTATTACGTACAATGTCATTCGACTACATGCTGATAGTGGCGCCAGTGGGAATTAGCCCTTGCTTTGTCTCTACCTAAAGAGACTGATGCAGCAGCGCTTTAATCTTTTAGTCTAGCTCTCTCACCTCCTCATCTTTACATTCTGCAGAAACAGACCACGTTTCAAAGCTTCATGTTAATACCACCATCAGTGTGTAATGTCCCTGTGATGTCAGCAAGGCACACAACCACGAACTAAAAACAGCAACAAATTAGCACCAGAATCACTAAGCGCTAAGCAGAATCCAACAAATTTTATGGGTTTCAGGGCGGAGCTCTCCTTTAAGAATCAAACTTCAAGACACCAAATGTGTCCTGGCTAAAAAGCTCCAAATGAGTTAAGGGAAGGGATCTTGATTTCCTTTAACTCAGGTAGGTCTGTAGCTGCCAGATTTGGAGACCAAGACTAATAATCATCTTTCTACACTTACTTAAATGAAACATTGTGTACTTGTGTGCTTCCTTTTGAAATCTAGTGCCAGTGAATCATACACTGTGCAGGTAATGAGGGTAGGATCCAATCAAAAAGCAGATGACAGAAAAAAATCCTGTTAAGTTCTGAAGATTCCATCCATCTATTTTCTTTATCACTTATCCTACACAGGGTTGTGCGGGAACCTGGAGCCTATCCCGGGGACTCGGGACACAAGGTGGGGGACACCCTGGACAGGGTGCCAACCCATCGCAGGGCACAATCACACACCCATTCACACACTACGGACAATTTAGAAATGCCAATCAGCCTACAACGCAGAACTGGGGGAGGAAACCAGAAACTGCACACACAGGGTAGAGGTGGGAATCGAACTCCGAACCCCCAACAGTGCTAACCACTAAGCCACCGTGCACCTCCTTCTGGAAATTCCATGTTCTCTGTGATGTGTTTCTCCTAATACATAACCTCCTCTAATGACAATTAGGGCTGGAACAATATGGAAAAAAAAAATCACATTACAGTAATCATACCCCAATATCAGAGTTTTCTGTATATCACAGCATAAACTAACGCATGATTACATGATTACTTGATTACACGGAACGGCTAGCCTTGCTGCCTACCATCTCCAGGGTCCCTGGTTCATTTCAAAGCTCAGGTTACTTACTATCTGTGTGGAGTTTTCTATATTCTCCCCGTGTGCATCTGAGTTTTTCTCCACGTTCATAAACTGCTTATGCTAAACTGAGGTGTCAGTGTGTGTGTGTGTGTGTGTGTGTGTGTGCGTGTGCAATATGTGTCTGATGCCCTGAGATGGACTGACGGTACATCCAGGGTGTATTTCCCAGGATAAGCTCCAGATCCTCTGCAACCAAAGCAGATACTAAAGATGAATGGATGAAGAAAGGATTACATTACTCATGTGAAGCTTATACATGGCCTTGTGCTTCATCTACTGCAGTAAAATACATTTATCAGCTAAATTTCTGTACCAAAGCATACCGTCTAGTCATACCTCTATCGTAATTACTCTATGTGTCAAGAGTAAAGGGTTAGTTATAATTTAAGAGCTATACGAAGGCCTTTAAGTTTCTAAATAGTTTTATTATTATTATTATTAAATTATTATTTTGAGGAAAAACACACTGACATCTATTGATAATTACTTATAAAGGACCTCGTGTTAGTGGTTATGGAAGTTGTCATTTATATACAGCTTTGTGAAGACTTGGGTTAATCACTTTTTTAAGTGCAAACAAGATAAGAGTGTTTAAAAAAATAAAAATAAAATAAAATAAAATCAACACCCCCGGCTTTGCAAGATGGATTAAAAGAAAGGAAGAAAAGTTTCAGGGGTGTCTAGATTTCTTCTTGATCTTATGAAAGACTGCTGAATACCTTGGAGTTGGGCTGAGAGAGACTCCTGGTGCTGCTGGTATTTCAGAGCCAGAGCTTCTGTCCTCTTCAGCTCCTGGTGCATTTCATACCAAATCATTCCTCCATAAATGAGGACAAAAACCACAGTGGTGAGAAGCAAAGACTGGAAGATTTTCCTTTGCTTTCTGGAGCAAACCCCACTGCCCATGTTCTCCACACTGAACATATACAACAACTTTGTCCAAAACTTTCCCTCTTATCTGCTGAACATTCCTGGGCATTTAAAGCAGGACTCTGCAGGTCAGATGGAGGCAGATCCTCGGGTGTGGAACATCCATTCCCAGGATGGAGGAAAAGTTTCCCATGCAGCTCTGTTTACTTTTTTAAAAAAAAAAAGTTGCAAAAAGTCAACAAAAGGTTCCAAAAAGAGGTTTTTCTACTACCAAACAAACAAAACTAGTCCTAAGCTAGGTTTTTTTTTGCTAACTTTTCTACAGATATGAGCTCCATGAAACATAAACAAGCACGCCACCTTTAGCTTTAGTTACGTGTCACCGAGCTGTAGCGGACCTGAAGGAAGTCCCTCCCTCCATAATTACCGCCCGTCATTGGCCCACTGCTATTGGTGTGTGTGCTGCTCCGTCAGAGGAAAGTCTCTGTGTGTTTGTATGTTTTTGCGTGTTTTCTTGGTCATATATCCAAATGCTCCACGCTTATGTTAAAACCCGCATAACCCCATTATCAGAATTGTGTTTTTTCTTTGTTTTCTTTGGTATAGCTAGTTAGTAATAACAATGTCATTCAACAAAATCCGATTGGTGGATTGCTCGCGTTGGCCAACTTTTAACCTATCCAAACGCATGAGGCGGAATACTATTAGCCAATCACAGCGCAGGAGGCGGGATTTTTTGGTGTACAGGTTAAAAGTAGCATTGAACTTACAGCTATGTGTGTAGCTACTTTAACTGACTAATTTTTGTCGCGTTTGAAATTAGTTTTACTCTAGAATGGGGGATTAAAGCAACGAGGAACGAGAGGGTGTGTATTATAGTGATTTTATCACGGGTTTTTTTTATTATTTTTTATTAAAAGGCACAACTAATGACTCACATACTGTATACAGTCGCATAAATATGACGCGAGGCAAAATAAAACCTATTCACCTGTGATAAAACCAGTGGCTTGTTGCTTTCATAAAACCTCAATTTGATAAAAATCTAGTGTTCAATAAATAATTACATTTATTATTAATAATATTCGCAATAAACAATAGTATTATTAATATTCTTCCGCCACGCAATGTAGTCCGTTAACAGTAAGCTTTGGTTGCTAAGCAACAAAAGGACCAATTGAACAGAACAATGGCTGTATTGATTGGAAATCTGGCGCATTAATACAATATTCAGTCAATGTGATGTGGTCACAGGTCTGTGTATATCAAGGATTTATCAGATTTTAGAACTGAAACAGTTCGCTTTGTAAGTAGGGAATAATACAGGACAGACTTGCAGTTATATGAAAATAACACGCTCCAGGGGTGGTGTGATGCAGCACAGCACGAATCGGAGTGTCGTTACAACCCAGGGAATTATTTTCGTATTTTTTGTAATTTTTTTCTTTTTTTTCCCTTATTATTTTCATATAACCGCATGGCCTGGAGTGTGTTATTCAGCTTATAACTCAGTGATTTCTCAAGTATTATAATGTTTAATTTATTAATGAGCACATTTTAACAGTTTATAGTTAGATTTAATATTGTGGAATGTCCACGAGTTAAGTTAGTTCCTGTTATCACTTATGCTACAGCCGTGATAAACAGTCATTCCTTCACCAGCCTCTCTCTCTCTCTCTCTCTCTCTCTCTCTCTCTCAAAAATGCACCTATCATTCTACCAAGAAACCTGGAAAGCATAATCTCCTCTATCCTGAAGACTTTCCTGTGAAAGTCTTGTTCCTGTTTTCTTGGAAACTTTGCAAAGCACCATGACTGTTGCAATGTGCTTACAACCAAGACTCCTTCCATTAATGTTGAATAAATGTCTCCTAACAAAAAAACATTGCCAAATCAATGATTATACGTTTTATTTTGTTAAACAACACCTTTTTTTAAAATCCGTTTATTGCTAGCCTTAGATTATGTGGAGCGTTTGCCATGCACAGCCCTGTGAATAAGTTGTTAGTATGGAAACAATAACGTATCAGAAAGTGTGCATTAATATAAACCTTTATTTATGTTACGTTATCAGCACAACTACTGTCCAAGCCATGCTGTTATACCTCCTGACCAATCAGATTCGTTAATGCACACCTCCTGTCCAATCAGGTTCGTTAATGCACACCTCCTGTCCAATCAGATTCGATAATGCACACCTCCTGTCCAATCAGGTTCGATAATGCACACCTCCTGTCCAATCAGATTCGATAATGCACACCTCCTGTCCAATCAGATTCGATAATGCACACCTCCTGACCAATCAGATTCGATAATGCACACCTCCTGACCAGTCAGATTCGATAATGCACACCTCCTGTCCAATCAGGTTCGATAATGCACACCTCCTGACCAATCAGATTCGATAATGCACACCTCCTGTCCAATCAGATTCAATAATGCACACCTCCTGTCCAATCAGATTCGATAATGCACACCTCCTGACCAATCAGATTTGATAATGCACACCTCCTGACCAATCAGATTTGAGAATTCAACCACGCTGTGGTATAATTTGAAATATTTTATGACAGATCCAAATGCCTATTCGTGGCTGGTTAACATAATACACATTCATTTATGGCATTTTGGCAGATGCCCTTATCCATTTATCTCATTTATACACCTGAGCATTTGAGTGTTAAGGTAATGGCATCTTGGCAGTGCTGGGATTTGAACTCATGACCTACAGATCAGTAGTCCACTGAGCTACTGAGCTACCACTGCCCCCTACGTAACACAGATGAGTATCTACCTGTCAAATAACACTGTTTTTGGGCAGCAATTGTGTATAATAATGTTCATAAAAGGTCAAAGAAGTCATCAACCACCCGAAATGAACGTGTCGCCTAGTTTTTTAATCACATTTTATTAGCTTCCAGCTGCTATGGTGAGAAACATAATTAACCAATCCGGATCATGCATTTTTCCTATTTCTGTTTGAAAGCTAATATCCAGCTAGTTATACTTTATGCATAGGGATATCGAGGTAACAGCCAGTGAAGTTCTGGAGGTTCACTGCAGAAGGAGAAATACAAGAGTAGGTCTGGAGTCTCGTTTATTAACCGTGGCATTTGCAAAGTTTTGTGCAGATGCACATTTCTACACATACAACATGATTTATCAAGTTATGCGTGATGACGTGCATATGTTTACACACACTCCTGACAATGCGTAGGCCTATGCAGCATATCCATTTCACAAACAGCAATGAGCCAAATAATGATCCATGTCTTGCATGCATTCGTATCAGTCATGCGTAACATTGACTGGATTAACATCCTGATCTAGCATTTGTCATGTTCACTTCATGTTCATGCTAAGCTCTTGTTCATGTTCTTAGTGTTTGTTCTCGTGTCTTGCACCTTATTAAATAGTCATCTGTACTCGCATCTGCTGCCATCTATCTAGATTTGTTAACAACAAAGACTCAAAGACTACATTTTTCTTTCTTTCTTTGCCACATTTAAATATCTTTGATTTGATGTCCTTATATTTGCTCATCAGCAAGACTAAGAACTTTCTACTAACACAATGTTTTCCATTTGTTTTTTTTCACTTACCCTCCCCAAGCTGTTACCTGATTGTTCTGACACTTGATGTCACATGGCACGTTTCTGAAAAGTGGACATTTTGCTTGTAGAATACCTCCAGTGCCAGCTGGGAAACAGTGATTAGACTGGATCTTTTCACTATTCACTATCAGTAATTGGTGATTTAATATTTTTTTTCCTTATATTTCATCCCTCTTAACATTCAGGGACAGTGAATATCACAGCTGCTATAAATCCTTTTGTCATACAGCCACCTTTCTCTTTCCTCTTCTTGCCTAATATGCATGTCAGACCTCACGTACACCTTATGAAGCTATCCGCATAACAGCTTGTGACTGAATCTGACCCAAGTGCTGCAATCTAAACAGTCTGATGATGACTGATAAACATAATAAGACACTGAAAAGCTCTTTTTCTAGGTGTTTAGGCAAGCTGGCGTGAGACGTGTACATCTTAGCTGATAATATGATGAGCAGATTGGCCTAGGCCACATGCCTGACACTGGATTGACCTTGGAACATTCCATGAAGGTGAACCTGCAGAGAGTTCCTTGTATACCCTACAATACTATGTGGACCGGCTGGTGGCTTTTCCATCATCAGTTCAACTGTCCATCTGTCACCATGGAAAGCCATGTGGAGCTCCACTATCTAAACAGAGACTGGCCCATTGGTTCATGGGCATCATCGCCATGACGACAGGCAGATGCCCAGCCTCTACTGTCACATGACAGTCTATATCCCAAGGCACGGCTCCACCTTATGGCCATTATTTAGCGTTATGTCACTCCAGGTAGCCTGCGCTGCCACCTAGCTGTTACTGCACACCTTCCCCAGGTTGTACAGTGTTAACATCACCCCTGCTAGTTGTGTGAGTGTGGCAGTCATCTCCAAACACCTTTCCACCTTTTCTTTTCAGACCTAAAGTGTGTTGGTTCTTCATGACATTGTGGCATATGTTATCCAGGTGATAATCACCTGATTAGGAGGGGTGAATTATGCTGCATACAACTTATTTTTGACCTCTGTGCATTCGAAAAGCCATGGATGTGGTGGAAATATTACCTTCTAAAGACAAATGTAAAGTTAAACTCACAGAGGCACAGTTGACTCCAGAGTAATACGTTTTTACGTAATACATATTCTCATCAAGGCCATGGAGAAGAACTCCAAAGACTATGTGATGCATGCGATTAAATAGTTCACCGCACAGGGCTAGTATTTCAAGAATGGTTACAGGTAGACATGGGACTTCATGCTTATTGGTCAAATAACGATAAATTTAACATGAATTATCATAAATGATTATACAATTAACAGGTAAGGAAATATGTATATGGGGAATATTTAATGTAACACTAAGACCATGAGAATTACTTCATCTCTTCAGGTCCCAAGCCTATTCTATTCATCATGCATAAGAAGACATGACCTCAACTTCACTTCTCAAAGGTGTCTTAAATCAGTCCTGATGGAGTAATTCTCCCTCTGTGCCTTAAAGCAGGCTTTCAAGGACTTCTTCCTGCTTTCTCACACACAAGCCAAAATATCAAGAAGCAGTCGTGCTAGGCTTCTGAATACCAACTTAAATGTGTTACTACAGAATATAATGAAGCATTAACTAATGCATATATGATTAACATATTAAGAAAGGTATGAAAGTAAATCATTTACCATATGGACTTCTCCATATTTGTCATATTTGTGTTAGCAACAAGCTGGCCAGCTAACTGTGATGCGAGATGTATATTTTCCTCCTCCAAACAGCGATCTGTATAGTCAGTGTTATACATTTAATAAGCTAATATGTCTGTATGTTGATTAATTTAAAGCAAATACTTACAGCGTATATGCAGTGTAACTCATTTAAAGGTAAGAAGTGCTACTGTTGATGCTGTGCAGCCATGTTGATTTGACGTCACTTGCTGAACTTGCAGGAACTTAGAGTTCCTGAAGACGAATTCCAAGTTGAGGCGGCATTTTCTGTGGTTTTTCCTGGTCGGCGATTGGAAATAACGACCTCTAGTTGAATGCAGTGTTCACAGAACCATAGGTGTATATTTAACTCGCGTCCAGTAATTTGTCCCTCAAATAATTTGTACCTTAATTGGAGGTTTAGTCTGTTTACATCTAGGTTCTTCTTAAAAAACATTCTGAAAAGTAAATAATCAAGGAAATAATTCACTTTGTTCAGGTTTATTATACCCGCTATTATATTTCACAAGCACCTTCTCAATGACATGTTTTGAATGTGCATTAAATAAATTAGCCCCAATGGACACCAAATCTATGGTGCATTTCACCATGTGCAATCACTGTCAACAATACGCTGCATGAATCTACAGTCTGGGCCGAAAAGAAATCAGCTCCATCTTCTCCTGCATGCCATTTTGTACATTATGACCTTTGGGGGTGCTGTTGTTCTTGGTTTCACAATTTTAAAAAAAAAAATCCACTACAAGCAATTTGTTAAGAAGGAATAACACAGCTGAACTTTATTTTCTCTGCATTGTTCTTTGAAAGAGAGGGTCTTGCTAGCCTGTTTATTATACACAGGCACGGTGGTGATGTAAAAATAAAATGGTCACACATGCCAAATTTCTGGGAAATAGTTGACCTTAAGGAATATTATAAACAGAATTATTGTCTACGAATTATTTATTTTATTTATGTATGTGTTGGAAAAGCAGCTGAGAGATGTCAAGAGTATGCCAAGCTACATAAACATACCTCTGATACAAGACTTACAGTATATGGCAGGCATGGACGTAACTTTATTTTGGTAAGTGCTGGGAGCAAGACTGATGACGGTTTAAAAAAAAAAGTCAATTATCAACACAATAATCAAAGTACGAGGACACCTGAGTGTTGAACACCCCATTTCAAAACCACGGGCTTTAATATTGAGTTGTTGAGTTGCTATTATTTGCTGTTATAATAACCTCCACTCTTCTGGGAAGGCTTTCCACTTGATTTTGGAGCGTGGCTGTGAGGATTTGTGCTCATTCAACCACAAGAGTGCAAGAGGTGCAGCCATCATTCCCGTTCATCCCAAAGGTGTTCAGTGGGGTTGAGGTCAGGGCTCTGTGCAGACCACTCATGTTCTTCCACTCCAACCTTGGCAAACCATGTCTTCATGGCTCTGGACTTCCTTTTGTGCACAGACGCACTGTGATACTGGAACATGTTTGGGCCCATTAGTTCCAGTGAAGGGAAACTGTAATGCTACAGCATATAAAGACAATCCAGACAAAAATCCCTCATTATTATTGTCTTTCCATGTTTTGTTTTTTTGGCTCAAAGTTGTACAAACCAAATCAACAAGTAAGGCAAGGTCAGCCATTGGCAGCATCATCCCAGTCAGTCTTTAGATGTGCCTTTTTATATGATGGAACTTTAACAGAAATTCACAGAAACTACGCAAGCTACGAAATAACCCACACCATCATGTATAATATCTATATGGATATTCACACAGCTATAGTATTTATATTGTGTATTTGCAACAGCACTTTGCATAATGTAGGCTTTATGAGACTTCAAATAAATGTCTTTCTTCTTCTTCTTCTTATATATTATTATTGTTATTATTATTATTATCATCATCATCATCATCATCATCTACTGTTGAGGGGCATCAGCTGGGTCCAGGGTTCGATCCTGAGCGCGGTTACTGTCTGTATTGAGTTTCTGTGCATGGGTTTCTTCTGGGTTCTCCGGTTTCCTCCCAAAAAATATACCAGTAGGTGGACAGGCTACTTTAAATTAGCCCTGGGTGTGAATGAGTGTGTAAATGTGTGTGTGCATGGTGTCCTGAGATGATTGGCATCCCATCCAGGTTGTATTCCTGCCTCACTACATATGTACATATATTAAAATTATAGATTTGCATTCAGTTTACACTTTCAGTGAAACAGGAAATTTTGTAAAAAAGATTGCTTATGTCTTCCAATTACACATTGCTGAAGTTTTTCAATTTCATTTATGATATTCTATGCATATTTTCCCTTTTATTATTGTTCATTTTTTGCCATAGAAATAATATTTCACGTGTAACTATTGACCTTATTGTACCTTGCTGTTGTACTACTGTGTTACTGCAGGAATAAATTTTGAAAAACATCTGCCTTGGGGCTCCCGAGTGACACAACAGAGATCGAGTATGGATCACAGAG